ACTTCGAGATCGCATACGTAAAAAATCACAAAAAACAAACATTAAGAGATTAGGTAACAAAAGAAAAGATTTCAACGGTTATAAACGAAAAATCACAAATTAACGGTTACTTTAGCTCCGATTTTGATGATTTTTTACAGCAACACTCATCGACCCTATAAGAATGCATTGAACGAATTCGATCTTCAATTTAAAATATTTACACTACTGGAAATCTTATTTTATACTTAATGGAAGTATAACATTAACTCTAAGTGTTTGTTTAATCTACCGTTTTGATGCAATACGCATTCTACAAAGCGTTTTTCAACGATCTAACCGTCAAACTTGTTTGTACACACTTCGAGATCGCATACGTAAAAAATCAAAAAAAAACTGTAGACATCGAAATTTCGGTAAATAAATGTTGACCGATAAATCAAAGTGTCAACGCTCATGTATTACATAAATTTTACACGTAGCGTGTGACTCAACGAAAATTGAAATGAGTTGGAAAAGTCATCAAATAGGAAACGTGTCAACACCTGACAGAAACGACTTATTTCATCTGAGATATTATATTCAAAATTAGGCCTTGGAAAATTCTATAAATACAAGCCCATTTCATTCATTTGATCAACCAATTCATATTACACCTTGAAGCTTTGAAGCTCTGAAACTCCGAAGCTCTTAAGCATCTAGGTACCCGAAGAATCAAGAAAGTGTTCTTCGTTCTTCGTTCATCGTTCTTCCAAGATCAAGCCCCAACGGCCCTTTGGATCAACAATCATCCACCAATTCAAGATCAAGCCCCGACGGCCCTTGAAGAAAGTGTTATTCGTTCTTCGTTCTTCGTTCTTCGTTCATCGCTCTTTCAAGATCAAGCCCCGACGGCCCTTGAAGAAAGCACCATCATTCATCATCCGTTCATCCAAGATCAAGCCCCAACGGCCCTTTGGATCAACAAAAGATCAAGCCCCAACGGCCCTTTGGATCAACAAACGTCGACAAATCCACACATCCAACCATTCTTCAAGATCAAGCCCAAAAGCCCTTGAAGATCCGCTCATCACCGTTATTCAAGATCAAGCCTCAAACGGCCCTTGAAGAAACATTCATCCTCAAGATCAAGCTCCAACGGCTCCTTGAAGATCCGCTCAAATCCACCTTCAAAGATCAAGCCCACGGCCATTTGAAGAAACTTCCAACTGTTCATCCAAGATCAAGCCTTGACGGCCCTTGGATCAACGAAACACCCACAAATCAACACCTTACGGAGATCGAATCAGAGGATCAAGTTAGAGAGAGATTGTAACCCAAAATCATCAAATACAAATATTTGTTTGTGCACGTTGTTCTTGTCTCTTTCGTTCCAGGAATTTTCCGTGTTCACAAATTGGCACGCCCAGTGGGACAATCTCTACCTCTTATCTCTTTCTCCGTTCAAGGAATCCAAGCACACCTCAAAGTCAATGGCATCAAGCAAGGGACAAGCCGTTCTTGCAACCACGGAGGGAAGGATCCTAAGCACTTCTGCCGCAAACGGACAATCCATTGGCGCCACAACCGCTCCTCAACATGCCACTTCAAAATTGGTACCGCTAAAAGAGCAAGGGGAGCATCCAAGGTGTGAGTATGTCATCAACCTGACCTCGCTGGGGGCACCGAAGCATGATGTTGGGGCACACAAGATGACATCCCAAAGCAGCCAACGACGTTCTTCATCAGCATCCTGGATGTCTAAAGGAAAGTCACGTCTATTGGTCGCACAAGTCATGACTATCGGCGTTACCTCCGTTGAAGAACAACTGGCTCAAATGAATGAAGCGATCACAAGGCTAACACGGATTGTTGAAGAAAAAGACTTGCAAATCGCTGCACTCATCAGCCGACTGGAGCCACAGGACGACGAGAACCCCGACCCAAAGAATGATCCACTAAAGAGAAGAGATGACGAAAAAGATGAGCCTCAGGTGGAGAAAAACGATGTGAAGCCGAAGCCAGACCAAGCAGCGGCACTCATGGGATCTCTTTCTATCCAGCAGCTGCAAGAGATGATCACCAACACCATCAAGGCACAGTACGAAGGGAGCTCATATACCTCCGGGTTGTACTCAAAGCCGTATTCAAATAAGATCGACGCCTTAAGGATGCCGAGGGGTTATCAACCACCAAAGTTCATGCAATTTGATGGAAAGGGAAACCCGAAACAGCACGTTGCCCACTTCGTTGAAACTTGCAACAACGCAGGAACCGAAAGGGATTACCTCGCCAAGCAGTTTGTGCGCTCGCTGAAATGAAACGCCTATGAGTGGTACATAGACCTAGAGCCTGAGTCCATCAACAGCTGGGAGCAATTAGAGCGGGAATTCCTCAACCGCTTCTACAGCACCCGCCGCACTGTGAGCATGCTAGAGCTAACGAGCACAAAGCAGTGGAAGGACGAGCCAATCATTGACTACATCAACAGATGGCGCACTCTAAGCCTCGACTGTAAATACAGGCTCTCGGAAACCTCTTCAATCGAGATGTGCATCCAAGGTATGCAATGGGGTTTGCAATACATCCTTCAAGGCATTAAACCACGGACTTTCGAGGAATTGGCCACTCGCACCCATGACATGGAGTTGAGCATCGCCCATCATGGGAAGAAAGAACCGATCGCCAACTACAAGAACGACAAAGTTCTTGGGCCAAAGTTGGAGAAGACTGCATGGAAACCCACCAAGGAAGCAATGACGGTCAACACAGCTCCCGTCAAAATCCCTACACGAGGCAAGGCGATTCAAACCGAAGCTTTTCGTGATCAAGAGATGCGTAGACGCACTTTGAAGGAGCTTGAGGAGAGGACTTATCCATTCCCCGACTTTGATGTGGTTGCTATGTTAGAAGACTTGCTGGAAAAGAAGGTGATCGGTTTGCCTGAGTGCAAACGGCCAGAAGAGATGAATCGCACTGACAGTCCAAGGTACTGTAAATTCCACCGCTTCATCAGTCATCCAACAGAAAAGTGCTTCGTACTGAAAGATCTCATCCTGAAGCTAGCACAGCAAGGGGAGATCGAGCTTGACCTCAAAGACACGGTTGCGGCACACACTACTACTATCGTGTTTGAATCACTCGATCCTGTGCATCTCCGAAGCATGCATGACCATTCTCGTCAATGTTCAAGTCACATGGCACCTCCTACACAACCATCACCGGGGGCAAGCAACCAAGATGCATCTACTGGTGATAAGAAAGGGTGGACATCGGTGACCTACAAAAAAAATGAGGAAGCCAAGACCACAAGCCACAAGGCCAAAAGAGGAGCCTAAACCCGCCCCTAGAACTTTAGTCTTCGAAAGGCTGAATTATTCAAAACCTAGAATTGCAGCACTTGATCGCATCAGTGGTCGAGACCAAAATTCCGTCTTCAAAAGGCTTGAGACGCCAACACCGCAAAGATCAGTCTTTGAAAGGTTATCAAAACCCAAGAAACAAAGCGGCACAGCTAGATCTCCTCCGCAACGGTCGGCTTTGGACAGACTTGAAGAAACTAAGAAGCCTTCTAGAAACAGGAAGACAACGCCAAAGGGAGAGAAGCTCGACAGTCTAGCAGGAAAAGACGATGTTCAAAGCTTGATTCCTTCAAGGATGAAGCGCCAAGCAACTTTGGAAGTCGACACAAAAGGACCACTGAAGGTAAGGAGGCGCACCATCATCTACACCGGCCAATCTTCACGGCAACAAACCCAAGAAGGCCACACTGAAGAGAAGGCCCAAGAAGACAAAGAAGACGAAATCCTGGAAAAAGACGTCACTTCCGGCTCTGTCAACTCAAAATTTTCACCTCAATCACTGGGGGCATGCTCCAAAAACATGCCAGTCAAGCCGAGTGAAGTTGAAGGATGAACTTATGTCACTCTGAAGAAATTGCACAAGAAGCATATGTCTTCTCCACAAGCTCACCAATGGGAAAGGGGGAAAAACAGTTCATGTTCACCTCTAGAACAATGTGAAAGTGTTGGAGATAATGAAACTTTGACACGAAGATCATCTATCCCCATCACGATGCGTGACATCTTCCCAGAAGACTTCTTCAACTACTCAGTCAAGGCTCCTTGCTACGAAGATTGCGAGGAACGACTCTCTCAGATCGCTTGACGAACCATGCTCCTTGTTCGCACGAGCCTAAACTGCACGAACCAAAGCTCCTTGTCTGTAAGAGCCTAAACTGCAAGACACAAGGCTCCTCGCCTGCACGAGCCTAAACTGCATGGCACAACGCTCCTGGTCTGCACGAGCATAAAAGGCAACATCAACGCTCCTGGTCTGCACGAGCATAAAAGGCAACACGAAATCGCTTCTTGCCTGCATGAGCTGAAACTGCAAATGGCACAAAAAAAAAGAAAATCCAAAAAAAATATGTATTTGAACTACGTTACGACTTGATCTCTTCTTTGGAGGGGTACGTAGGCAGCTTGAATATTCAAAATTTCGAGTTCAGTCACATCAAAATATAAATAAATGTTTTATTAAAAAAAGTCAATTTTATTACAAAGGTAACAATAAATAGTTCTTTGTAATTTCAAAAAATAATAATAATAATAGATAAATAAGGTGTGTGTGTGTGTATATATATATATATATATGTTCTTCTTCTTCAAAAAAAAAAAAAAAAAGAGGTTTGATTAAAGTTTCATTGATGAGGGTCAATTTCATTGCAAATTTATTTTGTTTAAAAATAAAAAAAATAAAAAAAATCAAGACTAGCAGGTGGACCTCAAGGCCCGAGACATAAACTCTTGTACATTGGGCTTTGGCGATGGCCTCCATTCCACCACTTCAATCCTCAAAGTTCCAGAAAAGCAGAGACCCAAATCCAGTCCTAGGCCCAGCTTTCAAATGCACTAACCGCAAGTCTACTGTCTCTATCCCAGGGTTAGGGTTCGGAGATCAAATCGACGGGGCAGCAATCGTGCTTCGTGGCGCGCGGTGTGATGGTCCTTGCAAAGCTTTATCGTCGGCCCCAACGGCGGCGGCAAAATCACCCTCTCCCGCAGCACCCGCTACATCTCCTGCGTCCGAGCCCGCTGTTCCAGCTCCCCGATTTCCTCCAGAGCGTTAATCTCAACTCCGAGCCAGTTCGATCGAGAGGGAGAGGGACATGGCTGACGACCTGTTTGAAGGCCTCCCTCCGCCATCTGCAAACGCTCCTCCTCCTCCTTCTCCTGAAATCCAACTCCGGCAACAGCCGCCTGAACCACACACCAAAATAGAGCGATCATGGAGACGGTGGTCGGCAACCTTTGCTCCCCGTTTCTTCTGAGTCAACTCGGTAATTCAAGGCCTTGTCTTCTCAAGCTCAGGACTTCTGCTGCTTCACGGGTTTTCAAGTGCTGTTTCGCGGCGGCAATCAAAGTTCGAGCTGCTGCTTCGGGTGCCGTCGTCGAAGTCGAGCCAACCGAACCAATTGTGGTGCAAAATGGTGGCATCAGCAGCAACAACATTTTAGCTTGTCCGATATGCTACGATCCATTTTCAAGTTCCGGTGATCCGGGCTTATCTGTTGAGTCTGCTTCTGGGTCTAGTTTTCAATGTGGCACTTGTAAGAAGACATACTTTGGCAACGAAACACATATTGACCTGACAACAGCAAGCGGCACCAAGGACTATGGTGAATCAATGCCCGTTACCACAGAAATATTTAGGACTCCATTGGTATCGTACCTCTATGAGAGGGGCTGGCGTCAAAGCTTTACTGTATGGGGTGGATTTCCTGGCCCAGAGAAAGAGTTTGAGTTGATTAAGGATTTCTTAAAGCCAGTCTTGGGTGGTGGAAATATCATTGATGCAAGTTGTGGGAGTGGGATGTTTTCTAGACTTTTCGCTAAGAGTGGATTGTTTTCTCTTGTTGTTGCTTTGGACTACTCGGAGAACATGTTGAAGGAGTGTTATGGATTCATTCAGCAGGAGGAGAACTTCCCCAAAGAGAACATGATCCTGGTCAGAGCTGATATTTCTCGGCTTCCGTTTGCTACTGGTTCTGTGGATGCAGTGCATGCTGGTGCTGCCATACATTGTTGGCCTTCACCATCAACAGCTGTTGCTGAAATTAGTCGAGTCCTGCGACCTGGGGGGGTGTTTGTTGCATCTACTTACATACTCGATGGGCCTTTTTCGCTCATCCCATTTCTAAGGAACATAACACAGAGAACAAAGCAAATAGCGGGCAGCGAATCTCCCATCAACTTGTATAACTCTGCATGCCCATCGGACGCAGAGGCAGGCGTACTCTTAAAATCACCAGTTAGTTCCAAGAGTCCGAAACACAGGCCTTCAAAGTCAACTTCCTCATCTACGTCTTCTACCCCAACAGACAAGAAAAAATTTTGGGGACACTAACTTGGTCGGTTGGGTGAAGATGAAGGTCTGAGATAGACGGGAAAGGTGATGCCGCTGTCACTGACGCCGATGCGGCGGTGAAGGTGGAGAGGCCAGCTGGAGTCGAAAAGCTCGAGAATGGTGGTTGCGACGATTGGAGGTTGATGGCGCTCTCTTTGGGCAGAGAGGAAAGACGAGGACGGCGGCGTGGAGCAAGTTTGTCTTTAGGGGAGCCCTGGGAATTAACGAGGTGGGGTCCGTTGGCTGTGCTCGGTGGTTGTGCTCCGTAGCTGTGCTCGGTGGCTGTGCTCACTTTCTCTTTCTGCCCATCAGCTTCAGCGGCATGTACAGCCCCTCATCCTCCGTCTCTTGCCTCGCATTTTCTGCCAAACAACCATCTTCTCGGCCTCCTTGCTCCGCTCCCTGCAAATTCCCCATCCCGTCATCCAAATTTATACAAACAAAAAATAATAAAAAAATATATATGGTGGAACACTGCACCATGATAAAAGAAAAAAATAAAATAAAATAAAATAATAAAAATGCATGGTGCGTCGGGCACCATATGAAAAAAAGGGGGAAGGGTGCATCTGGCACCATAATTAAAGGCAAAATATATATATATATATATATATATATATATAATAAAAAAAAATAATAATAATAAAATAAAATTAAAAAAAAATAATAATAATAATAAGTTTTTGATCTTTGGTGCGTCTGGCACCATGTGAAGAAAATGGGTGCACCATGATTAAAGAAAAAAACAATTTATATATATATACACACACATAAAAAATGAAATAAGGCTCATCTATTGATTTCTTTGAAAATTTACAAAAAATGTACATTTTACATCAGTAAAAAAAAAAAAAAAAGTCAAATCAAATTTACAGGAGGGGATCTTCAAGGATGATCAGGTGGCGCCTTATCACTCGGCGAAACTCCAGGAAGAAGAGGAGCCGGAGGTTGATCATCTGGAGCTTCATTACGCGGTACAGCCCCAGAAGACGAAGGCAAATGCTGCTGGAACAAACCCACAAATCTCTGATAATCAAGTAAAATCTGACCATCAGATTCCTGCATCTGGTCAATCTTCCTCTTCATGTTTGTCGCATAGCTATGTGCGAGCTTATGCAACTGTTTATTCTCCTGCTTGAGCCCTCTAATCTCCTGTTTAAGACTCGTCACTTCCGCCGCCAATGATTCAACTTGACGGGTTCGAGCAAATAGGCGTTGGGCCATATTAGACACAGAACCTGCACACTGCACACTGAGAGCCAGAGAATCCTTAACAGCCAACTCATCAGACCATTTGGAAAGTAGTCTGTTATCTCTGGGAGTGACAAGGTTTCGGGCCACCACAGCAGCGGTCATATCATTCTTCACCACCGAATCCCCAACGGTAAGAGGACCAGTAGGGGATATGAAGGATGGGCGCCATATGTTGTCTGGAGAAGGCGGGATTGCCTCTTCACCAAGGTTCAAGTCAAAACGACGGTCGGAGGGTCCAGACATTTTCAAAGTGTTAAAGAAAGAAGAGATCGGACAAATCAAGATCTTAGAAGTGCAAGAAGGGAGTTTTCACAAGCGAAAATTCAAGTGTGCTTTGAAACGAACTGCATGCCTCTATAAAAAATCAGCACTTGACAAGCTCAAAATTCGAAGAGGCCATTCAAAAATCTAAGAGGCAAGCTCGGAAATCGGAGAAGCATCTTGCTTTTCCAGACCCGTCGGCACCCGTCACACGCAAACTCAGCTTTGCGGAAATCACGGGTAATTTGTCGAAGCGCCGATCCCAGATATCGAAGAGGCGCCAGTCTTTTTCAGCCGCGTTATCACCTGTCATATGCACACTCAACTTTGCGCAAATCACGGGCAATTTGTCGAAGATTTTCGGTGAAGGAGAAAGCACGTGAAAGTTTACTGTTCAATCACGCGTTAGTTGCCGACACAAGTGAAAGAATAGTACCTCTACAGGTATTAAGGGACCGCCTATAACTGTCCACCTTCACCTTCCATAGCAAGGCAGACATACAGAGCCTTTCTTCATCTCCAAAAATGCTTTCCCAACGAAACCTCTCGAGTTATTCAGTGTTCCTTATTCCTTGGGGTACCTCTGCAAGCCAATGACTCCAAAGAAAAAGTATCTCATATCACTAGGGTAGAAAGAAAGAGTATCTCATATCATGCGTTCTTCCTGTCCTTTCCTTTGTCCTTATTCATACCTGCAAAGACAAGGATAAAGAAAGCAATATGCCGGAACCTCCACTCAAACTCGGGTAAGGAACCGACTGCTTGGAACCCTTCCCTGATTGCCTACCTAGCACTGCTCTCGAGTACTCGTCTTCCACTGCTGCTGTACTTTCAAAGAAGCTGCCACATCTGCCTGGAGAACAAATAAGGCAAGTGAAAATGATACCTTGCAGCATGTGGAGACAAGGTGCAGAAGGAACAAGCAGAGAAGAATGCGGTCTGCACAGTCAACTCAGCAGAAGGAGTCCGAGCTGAAGAACTCGAGAAGCTGCCACATCTGCCTGAAGAAACAAACAGAGAAGAATGCAGTCTGCACAGTCAACTCAGCAGAAGGAGTCCGAGCTGAAGAACTCGAGAAGCTGCCACATCTGCCTGAAGAAACAAGCAGAGAAGAATGCAGCATGCACAGTCAACTCGGCAGAAAGAGTCTGAGATGAAGAACTCGATTTGACCCTCAAATTCTTGGGTCGACTTACTAGGCGTTGTGGGCTGCACGTGCCGATTCACCACCCTTGAATCAAATCCTTAAAGATCAAGTCACCAACTAGAAGAAGAGTTCATCAATCTTGAAGATCATACCGTTGACCAAACTGCTTATGTGTGAATTAGAAAGATTGAACAAAGAAATAGGTCGTCACCTTCACCTCGTGCCTGCTTGCCATATGTTCGAGTCAACCTTCAAGAATCAAGCCTCAACGGCCCTTGAAGAAGTTTCCAGCCAAATTCAAGATCAAGCCTCGACGGCCCTTGAGGAAATCACAAGTCCGATTCAAGATTAAGTGTCTACCACCCTTGAATCAAAACCTAGTTCAAGAATAAGCTGTGGAAAATCAACAATTGGAGGAAAATCCTCCAACCCAGTTCAAGATCAAAGCTGTGGAAAGTCAACAAGCGCAACAAAATACGTGCCGATTCACCCACTACCAAAGCCAAAGATCATCTACCACATGAAGCTCCTTGTGGTCCAATTTCAACCTTCGAGATCAAGCCTCAACGGCCCTTGAAGAAATTTCAAACAAAAGTTCAAAAACAAGCCTCAACGGCCCTAGAAGAAATCTCAAGCCCAATTCAAGATCAAGCCTCAACGGCCCTTGAAGAAATCTCCAGCCTAATTCAAGATCAAGCCTCGACGGCCCTTGGATCGACGTCTACAGTAAGGGACTTCAAAACGCATCTTCTACACGAGACAAGCACATGTACACGACGCGACTTGAAGTGGGGGCATTTGTAGACATCGAAATTTCGGTAAATAAATGTTGACCAATAAATCAAAGTGTCAACGCTCATGTATTACATAAATTTTACACGTAGCGTGTGACTCAACGAAAATTGAAATGAGTTGGAAAAGTCATCAAATAGGAAACGTGTCAACACCTGACAGAAACGACTTATTTCATCTGGGATATTATATTCAAAATTAGGCCTTGGAAAATTCTATAAATACAAGCCCATTTCATTCATTTGATCAACCAATTCATATTATACCTTGAAGCTCTGAAGCTCTCAAGCATCCAGGTTCCCGAAGAATCAAGAAAGTGTTCTTCGTTCTTCGTTCATCGTTCTTCCAAGATCAAGCCCCAACGGCCCTTTGGATCAACAATCATCCACCAATTCAAGATCAAGCCCCGACGACCCTTGAAGAAAGTGTTCTTCGTTCTCCGTTCTTCGTTCATCGCTCTTTCAAGATCAAGCCCCGACGGCCCTTGAAGAAAGCACCATCATTCATCATCCGTTCATCCAAGATCAAGCCCCAACGGTCCTTTGGATCAACAAACGTCGACAAATCCACACATCCAACCGTTCTTCAAGATCAAGCCCAAAAGCCCTTGAAGATCCGCTCATCACCGTTATTCAAGATCAAGCCTCAAATGGCCCTTGAAGAAACATTCATCCTCAAGATCAAGCTCCAACGGCTCCTTGAAGATCCGCTCAAATCCACCTTCAAAGATCAAGCCCACGGCCCTTTGAAGAAACTTCCAACTGTTCATCCAAGATCAAGCCTCGACGGCCCTTGGATCAACGAAACACCCACAAATCAACACCTTACGGAGATCGAATCAGATGATCAAATTAGAGAGAGATTGTAACCCAAAATCATCAAATACAAATATTTGTTTGTGCACGTTGTTCTTGTCTCTTTCGTTTCAGGAATTTTCCGTGTTCACAAAAACATTAAGAGATTAGGTAACAAAACAAAAGTTTTCAACGGTTATAAACGAAAAATCACAATTTAACGGTTACTTTAGCTCCGATTTTGATGATTTTTTACAGCTACACTCCTCGACCCTATAAGAATGCATTGAACGAATTCGATCTTCAATTTAAAATATTTACACTAGTGGATAAATCTTATTTTATACTTAATGGAAGTATAACATTAACTCTAAATGTTTGTTTAATCTACCGTTTTGATGCGATACGCATTCTACGAAGCGTTTTTCAACGATCCAACCGTCAAACTTGTTTGTACACACTCCGAGATCGTATATGTAAAAAAATCACAAAAAACAAACATTAAGAGATTAGGTAACAAAAGAAAAGTTTTCAACAGTTATAAACGAAAAATCACAATTTAACGGTTACTTTAGCTCCGATTTTGATGATTTTTTACAGCAACACTCCTCGACCCTATAAGAATGCATTGAACAAATTCGATCTTCAATTTAAAATATTTACACTAGTGGATAAATCTTATTTTATACTTAATGGAAGTATAACATTAACTCTAAGTGTTTGTTTAATCTACCGTTTTGATGCGATACGCATTCTACGAAGCGTTTTTCAACGATCCAACCATCAAACTTGTTTGTACACACTCCGAGATCGCATACGTAAAAAATCACAAAAAACAAACATTAAGAGATTAGGTAACAAAACAAAAGTTTTCAACGGTTATAAACGAAAAATCACAATTTAACGGTTACTTTAGCTCCGATTTTGATGATTTTTTACAGCCACACTCCTCGACCCTATAAGAATGCATTGAACGAATTCGATCTTCAATTTAAAATATTTACACTAGTGGATAAATCTTATTTTATACTTAATGGAAGTATAACATTAACTCTAAGTGTTTGTTTAATCTACCATTTTGACGCAATACACATTCTACGAAACTTTTTTCAAT